TAACAGGAAAAAAGCAAGTCAAGCCATGAAGGCAGAATAAAATAACAGTATTCATCACTTTAATCTCCAGAAGTATAAGGAACCCGCTGGACCTCACGTAGAATATATCATATGGGTGATGGGCCTTCCAACCTTACCTCTCTAAATTCCCGAATAAAGGGAGCCCAAAATATCATTTCCAGGTTAATCTCACAGGATGGGCTGACTGGATTTGGAGAATATGGCCCCATAGAAAACATGGACACAAGCCATGTAGGGCTTTATAAGTCAACCCTTTGATTGAGTTTATGGGACATCCTGTCCAATACCAGCCATATACAGAAGCAAAGCTGCTGAAACAGCCCTTACCTTTGTCAGTATGCAGGCTATCATATTCTGCACCATCTGAAATTTCCAGATAGACATCAAAGACAGCCCTAACATACTGCAGTAACCCAGCCTGAAAGAAATAAGGACATGAATGATGGGCTTTATAACTTCCCTCTACAGAAAGGATTGCAAATTAATTTCAGATACATTCATATCCCTACTTTAAGACACAGAACTCAAAGGTTTTTTAAAAATACAAAAGGAACATGAACATTTTTAGGTGCGTGATTCAAAACTCCTGTTCTTCAATATCTTGTATTAATCGTTTGATACAATGATAGTAAAATGAAAATGACGTATAATTTAGTATACAAAGAATTAATACGTGTTGTAGAAAGTAAATATTCTCAGTGTCATATATAATTTCTTCTAATCCAGATTCTTTTAAGGAAGTAGATTCTGCTGATTATCAAGCTTCTTTGGGCTATCTATTCTTTAGGTCTTTGAAAAGCATTCTTCACTTGTAAATTAATGGGTAATTTAAATAAGTACCACCGCTTTATTATCTACTTAACAACAAAATTTGTTTGTATGAAGTTTTTATCTGGCTTGCATATAAAATGCTAGTGAGTTTGCCTTCAGAAAAGCTCTGTGATTTATAATAGGGCAATATCTTTGTTGGGATATTTTTCTTAAGATACATACTTTGCTGAGAGCCAATTTGCTGTCGTGGTTAAGGCATCAGGCTAGAAACCTGTGACTGTGACTTCTAGTCCTGTGTTAGACCCAAAACATATGAAGAATGGTTGCAGGAATTGTCTATGTCCAGTTTAATGAAAAGAAGGACTAAGGGTGACATGGTAGCAATATCTAAGGGGTTGTCACAAAGAAGAAGGAGTCAATTTATTTTCCAAAGCACCTGCAAACAAGACAAGAAGCAATGGATGGACACTAATCAAGGAGAGAAGCAACTTGGGATAAGGGGAAACTTCCTGACAGTTAGAACAATTAATCAGTGGAACTACTTGCCCCCAGAAGTTGTAGGTGCTCCAACACTGCAGGTTTTTAAAAGCAGATTGGACAACCATTTTGTCTGAAATGGTATAGGGTTTCCTGCTTGAACAGGGGGTTGGACTAGAAGACCTCCAAGGTCTCTTCCAACCCTGTTAAACTGTTACTTGCTGTTGTGACTTGCAGTGACTTTGACTCGGCCGTAAGGAGGAGGCAGTGGCAACCACTTCTAAAAAAAAATCTTGCCAAGAAATGCAGGCACTTGTTCAGGCAGTCTGCAAGAATCAGACATATTGAACAGAAGGAAAAATTATTTGTTACAGCATTTTAAGGATACTAATATTATAAGAAATAATTTTAAAAATAGAGATTTAAATAAAAGTAAAGAATGAATGGAAGATGTTGGGTCACCAGGCAAGCTTATTATTGCTACCTATTTCTAAGTTACAGGTGAATCTTCCACTCTTTCCCCAAGCTTATTCATTCCACCATCCTCTGCACATCAGCAACTGAAACTAGCTGCCCTCACACTCCCAGAAAGCCACATAGGGAGCACCATCTTTGCTTTCTAAGTAAACTAAGCCTGATAACACATACGCTGTAGAATGATTCTCAGCACATCCGTTTTGGCAAGTGAGAACAAAACTTAAGTCATTTTGGAATCCTAGCCTCAAGAAAGGAAAGCGGAAATAAGAAGCTTTTTCTGAATAGAATCAAAGTTTTCCCAGGCTTACCATTTTTTTGAAAAATATTGGGGTAGATCAAAGATTGCTGAAAAGGAAGAATGGAAGGGAGAAAAGTCCTGGTTTGAATTCCCAGAGAGTTTCAGGAATCAGCTGAGATAAGCCCAACACTGAAAAGCCCAAGGCGATTCTCCAGGTCTGCCTTGATTCGTGATAAATAGAGCTAAGTTAGTTTGTCTAAAGAATAAAGCTGATAGAGGGAGCTCAGAAGTAAGACCAAGAAGCCCTGGTGATGCAGTGGTTACAATGCAGTATTGTAGGCAAACTCTGCCCACAGTCTGGAGTTTGATCCTGACCAGCTCAAGGTTGACTCAGCCGTCCATCCTTCTGAGGTCATTAAAATGAGGATCCAGATTGAGGGTAATATACAAAACATTGTAACCCACCACTCCCAAAAGTGCTGTAAAGCACTATGGAGTGTATGCGTGCTAGTGCTATTGATGTAGATAAAGGAATTAGGATGAACTGCTCCTAAGCTTCTGATTAAAAATTAGAAATCAGTGAAATTCAATAAACACTGAATCCAAGAGTAAGATGGATCAATAAGCTAGGATGCACTGTGTGGAGTTTGTGCTTTATTTTCTAGGACTGCACCTGCTTATTTCTCATAATTGTATCTAATAACTTTTGTGTATGATGTCTAATGCATTTTGCGCAAACTCATTTTTTGTAATTGTTTTCAATCTTAGTCTCTTTGAGCCATAAATCAGTTCATTATAAATTACTCTCCCCCACAGCATTTTATTGGGGGTATTCAAGCCACTGTTTGTGATATTATCAGTACTACATGTCATATTGCATCAGTTTATAATTGTTTGGAGCATTTGATTACCTAATGTTAAAAATGTCCTGTTCAAGGCTGAGCAAAAACATCATAAACTGTTAACTGAGAAGAAGTATCTCAGCCAATTAAATAAGCAGGCAAAGAGCCAGCAATGCAGATGCACAGCCATTTTGGGGGAAATGGAGGACAAGGTCTTACCTGATGGGCAAGCACAAAACAGGAGCTACAGTGTTCAGTCCAGAGCCCAGCATAGCACAGGTTCAAGGAAATGGAGCAAGGTAATGACCAAGAGACATCAAGGTTCATAATTGCTGGTAAAACATCATAAAATCTGTTGCTTAGGCCATACTGTTAGGAATAACATGGTTACCTAACTTAGTTTGGGTAAAATAATATATATAGACTATGATTGTGTGTATCACTTTAACTGTAAAACATGTATTTTGGGTGCGGTTGTAAAATCACCATAAGAGGGAGCAAGAGAGCTCACTGTTTGCTGGCTTTTACTGGATTGCTGACAATGATGGATTGATGGTGATAACTGCGTGTTTTCCCTGCTATTGCTGAACGAAGAAAAGAGGTTTGATTTTCTTCATATCTCTACTGCAAAAAGAGATATATTACTGGACTGATTATTTGTGAGTTTACTGACCTCTTTTTCGACACTGACCTCTTTTTCGACATTCCAAGCTAATGAATAATCCCCGGACGGACTGAACTAGTGTATGATATATGGACTGTTTGACTATGCTATAACTCTTACTGGAATAAAAACTATTTAACTAGCACTGTGTATCTGTTTTACTGAGTGTAAGCTACAACAATGTTTATCTCACATATCTGCCTGCCTGCCTGACTGCCGTTGCACATTTTGTTAGGGTGTATATCCCTAACACATACACTGCCCAATAGATACTAGGCACAACATTCCAAGTCAATGTAAGTAAACAAGGCTTACATTCTCATCTTTACGAAATGGTTGTTTTGTTTCTCCAATGTACAGATCTACACATATCTCCCTAGCAGATCTGTACATTGGGGAAATAAAACAACCATTTCATAAATGCATGGCACAACATAGGAGAACATCAGGACAAGATTCAGCAGTCCATCTGCATTTAAAAGACAAAGGCCACTCTTTTAAAGAAAACAAAACCCACATTTTGGACAGAGGGGACTGCTGGTTTGAAAGAGGGGTCAAAGAGGCCATCTATGTCAAAATTGAACACCCTTCTCTCAACAGAGAGGGATATAACATCATCTATCTCCACTCTATAACAGCCATTTCAGCAGTTCCAAAAAGACTCCAGTGCACTATTCAGGTGACCCGGAGGACACAGATAAATCTCCAAGTGGCCTCAACGACTCTTAAAACAGGGGTGTCAAACTCACGGCCTGCAAATTGGATGCGTCGTGGTGGCCATTCCCACACCCAGTTTAGCAAAGGGAAAAAAGTCACGATACATCACGTGATAATACTATGATGACGCAAGTTTGACACCCCTGTAAAAGAATGCAAATACCATACCATAATTGTAATATGAGTGTGTGTTTATGCTATATTTTGTAGTGTATAATTAGGTGCAAATAAGTGCAAATGAAAAGGCACATTCTGAAGTCATCTATTGCTTTCCCAAATGGCATAGCGTGCCTTCGCTGCCATTGTCCGTTATTCCTTCCAATGCGAGAGCAGAAAAACTTTCAACACCTTGTGCTCAAGATCATGTTCATAGTAAAGGGATACATATGGCATTGTGTGTCACATGACTTCTGCACTGTAAACACCTTTATTGCTTGATTTAACACTTGGCATAAAGGTAGACATGGAGTAAAATATTCAAAAACAGTTTGTATGCAACTTGCTCATTTTTGTGACTAGGGATATAATAGATTTTTAAGAAGCATTGGTATTGGGCTTGAACCCGTAAATACTTAGTTGTACATGAAAACAAAATCTGAATTAATAAAGTTCAGTAAAGTCCCTTGTTATTATTCTATTGCATAAGGATTCTCAATTATTTTCCTTTCATTGTGAATTTAAAACTGAGATCCGCATATGATGCCATTTCAGGCTTGCTGCTTTGAAAATAAAAGGGTGCAGAATATACATCATTGAGCCTAACATTTGCCCTCTTTCTTTTGCTTTTTCTCAGGGGATGAGCGCTCCCATGATTGCACAACACCAGCAGAAGCTCAGACACAAGCTGGAATGGAAGCTGGTGGAAGAGGGAGCCCATGTTGCCAAACATGCTCCATGATCCATCTTAAGAAAATCTTCTGGGGAATAGTGGTAGTTCTTGGAGTCTGCTCTTCCTGGTCAGGTTCAACCCAGCTAGCAAAACTGACCTTTAAGAAATTTGATGCACCCTTCACTTTGACATGGTTTGCAACAAACTGGAACTTTTTATTCTTTCCTTTGTATTACATTGGACATGTTTGTAAGTCAGCTGAAAAACAATCTCCCCAACAAAGATACGGGTAAGAAGGGGTTGTCATATTTTGCTGTGTTGTCATTCCCTTCATGTTATTCCCTTCTTAGATGTTTCATTAAGCTTTTGGTAAAAAAGAAAAAAGAAAGGACTGTAAATTATTGGCCCAAATATTGGAAGGGAATAGAAGGAAGATAAGGACATTGTAGAGGAAGGGAGAATTTGTATTACACATTCCTATTAAAAATAAGTGAAATCTCTCTAAGTGAGCATCTATACCCTCTCTGATGCTTTTTGTTGCTGTTGTTCATTTGTAATTGAGCTAATTAGAATAATAATAAATAATTTAACTGTCTTTTTCATTATGGCAAAAGATAAGATATAAGATAAAATATCTTCCTTCTAATTGTCATAGACATCAGAAGAGTCACATGAATTTATTTTACCTAATGCCATTTAAAGATAGTCATTTAATTTTAGTAAAAATATGTTATTTAATTAACAATGTTGGGTGCCCTGTTACAATTTTCCTCTTGAAGACCTGTTTTGACTTTCCCCTTTTTTACACACCTTTGTGTTTAAACTAGACATGTTTAGATAGGTGATATATCCTTTCTAATACATCTATATAGTTGACTCTATAAAATGAAAATGTGGCAACAAGAATGTGTTTTTATTAGTGCAGCCACAAGTTTCTATCTATAAATGGGGGACTTGTCTAGATAATTTACAAGGGGCTTGGAAGTCTGTTCACCTCCATTGGCAGATGTTTTGAATTAAAGTGATATTGAATTAAAGTGAGTAAGGTCAAATGCAGAACTTGAAAAGAAAGGCAGTGGTGGTGGAATTAACCATTATATGGCATACAATCTGCACATAACGACGGGGAAAAATCCCTTCCACAATATGACAAGATTCAATTTTCAAATTAATACAAACTCTTTATGGTAAGTCTTATCATAAAGACACGTAAAACATGACTACAATAAAAAGTTCATAGCAACTTGGGTTGATCAGAAAGAAGCAGTAGATGAGTTGTTTGTTTCTGGGCTGTACCTAAACATTGGACACTTATATTCAGGGGCAATCCCCCCTTCAGAGTTGCTTATATATTTTATTCTCATCACGTGCATTGAGAAATATTGCTTTGGACAACAATGTTTCACTGGAAGAATTGTGAAACTGATTCTTATAGGATTTGTACTGGAATCTTATTAAAATGGATAAATTTTAGAAATCAGGAGATAAAAGCTAAGAACCAGTGGCTCTGCTGTAATCTTTTCTTGCTTCATTACAAGCTTTTTAGTTTTAGGTGTTAATGCAGGAGTTCTCAAACTGTGGGTCATGGTTAACCAGAAGCCATCAACAACTTAAATGGATGGCAAAAGTTTCTTCTAAACCTAATCAGGCTTATGCAGGCAAAGTAGAAAGTGCTCTCAAAATATGGATATTTTGAAGGTTTCAAAGCCATAATCTCTGTTTTTGTGCTTATTCAATTGCTTTTTGTCTAATGATTTAAGCCACTACAGAAGAGACAGCTCCCAAGGAAAGGAAGTAAAAAATTAAAAAGATATGTGAATTTGAATTAATGTGTCTGAAAGGATGGGTTTCTGCATGGCTCCAAGGAAAAATACATTGCAGCATTCAAATAAAAAATGTAGATATAAAACAATTCAACTTTTGCCTGAGCACTAAGCAATTTATGGCCCTTCAACTCTTATTGATCTTCAACCTCCATCTGCTTTATCCAACATGGGCAGTGATTAAAAATGTTAGTATATTTTGTCAATATCTGGAAAGGCATTCCCTTGCTTGCAAATCCTAGGTCCACCAGAATACAGCTAGCTTTCAGTATTTTATCTGCTTAAGGTATACACTTAAATATTTTTGGAAATTTTACTACTGCCATTTATTATTTTGAAACTGCAATAGACAAACATAAATATCATCACTGATGATTGGCCTTGTTAATGGGGTGATAAGAGAGTCAGTTTGGTGGCTAGTGGTTAGAAAGCAAGAGACCGTGAATTCTAGTCCCACTTTAGTCATGAAAACCTCTCTCTCTCTCTCTCTCTCAGCCCAACTTACCTCACAGGTTTGTTGTGGGGACACTAAGAGGAGGAAAATATATTGCTTTGAGTTATTTGTAAAAATAATAATAATAAAGATTGGATAGAAATAAATAAATAAAAAGAAAAAAATTCAGTTCAGCCATTTTGAAATAAACAGAATAATCATGTATACTTTCATTCCTTTGCATGTGAAAATGTGAATCAAACTACCATTTTTTAAAAAAAAACAGTTAGCAGCCTTACATGGGTTTGTGCTAAAGGATTTCTCAGAAGAATACCAGAATATCATGGATTCATTCTTGTCTTAAAATCTGTTAGTATCATGATGCCTTGAGCAGGAATTTGTCCGTCTGTAATATATATTCTATAGTTTGCTGCTTAGATAGCTTTTAAGCACATAGGACAAATAAGTGCTGAATAAGTATATTTGTTGATTCAAATAACGCCTCCATTTCAGTAGCATACTAAGATATAATCCTTATTTGTAAGCATGGTCATCTGACAGGCCCATAAGCTTTGTTTTATTTATTTGTGTTCACTTAAGATGATACTTTCAAAAAGGCAGCATAATATGCAATTAAACTTATTGGATGTTTTGTTAATTTTTTGGGGGGGGTATTATGCTGCTGATGTGTTCTAAAATGGGATTTGTGGTTCTGTTTTCCCCAGACTGACTCAATAATTAATATCATAAAATGGAAAAAGAAAGCAACAAATACCAGCCAATTGGCCTTTTTATTTAAAGGCACTAATGTTGTAAATTGCATTCTCACCTTCTGTAAGGAAAACGTACTGCTGTAATGAATGTGGTGAAGTTCTCTTTCAGACTTACACACCGAAATATTTAGAAAGAAATAGCTAGTTTACAAAGAAGGGTGCGGCCATCCCAGCAAAGGGCAGAGAAATGTCAAAAAATGAAGCAGGAGAGATGGGCCTTTACAAAAGTGGACAACTTTTTCCACTCTTTATCTTTTGGGCTTTGGGTTCCCTTATAAGGAGACTGGCTTCAAATCAAGCCATAACAAAGATTAAACAGTTGAAGACCAGCCCATATCTAGTGAATCTGGATAGCAAGCTGGGATCAGTGAAGGTACTTGCAGTACAAATTTTGTTACTTTGTTATTTTAAGGACTTAGGCATGTGCTAGTATGAGATCCTGTGAGATCCAGTGATCCAGAAATCCAGTGAGAAGATCCTCACTGAAATAATTTCTTGAGAAAGCAATTGCTCATTCTTTCTCCTTTTTCTTTTCTTTTCTTTGTTTTTTCTGTAGGAATCTGATTTTGTTATACAAGTAGTCCTTGTTTAGGGGGCCACAATTGGGATCAGCAAGTTGGACATTAAGTGAAGTGGTCATTAAGTGAAACTGAAACTCAGCTTTCCTTTGCTTTATAGACCTGTGAAGGTCATACATGTGAGGATAAACGGCTTAGAGAGGGCTGTAAAGCACTATAAAGCAGTATATAAGTTTAAGTGCTATTAGTTGTCAAGTTTTTTTTTTCATTTCTGTTTTAAATGCGAACAATCACTAAACGAGGACAATCTGTACATGAGGATTACTTGTATATAATTGAAATCCTTAGTCATTCTGGAAAAGTGATCTATGTTTTAGCACATGATTCATCCAGCAAGCCAGACAACTGCAGGAAGCAGGACTTCCATCACACCTTCCTGACAAGGGACAAAATAGGCAGATGCAAAAATGCTTTATGTTCATAGATTTGCCTTGTCTCTCTCTCTCTCTCTCTCTTCTACTTTAGGATAAATCAAGTGACTCTGGGCGGTTTACAATTCTAAAATTATAAAACAATTAAAACAGTACAAAAATCCAGAAAACTTTCATGACTGAGGGTATGCTAGAGATTTTTCCAGAGGTCGGATTCTACCAGTTTGCATCTACTTGCTCGAACCGGTTGTTAATATTCTTTTTTTTTAAAATAAATTTTATTGATTTTACAATTAAAACAAACCAACAACACATACATAAATGAAAGAGAGAAAAAGAAGAAAGAAGAAAATAGAAAGAGAAAAATAGAAAACAATTAAAAACATTCTCATCTTCAACAGTTTGTAAGACCTCTTTTTTATCCTTATTTTATGCCATATACACACCAGTTCTTAGAAGAAATTACTGGCCTAATCCTGTGAGGAAGGCAATATTCTGGTGTTGCTTACAGAAACTGCCTCTCCATTAATCCTTATTACATTCTTGGCAGGACTAGACTTCCTGTCTCAGGAACTTCTCTGGAGTTTTCTTCCCCTCCTTTGCTGGTACTTTGCTTGTGTGGAGTGACCGTTCAAAGTTACAATGGCACTGAAAAAAGTGACTTATGACCATTTTTCACACTTACGACTGTTGCAGCATCCCCACAGTCATGAGAGGCCAGGTGAGGAGATGCGTGCCTCGATGTGAGTGATATTGAGTTGGCCACGCCCAGCCAGTCACATGACCACCAAGCCACACCCACAGAACCAGTTGTTAAAAATTTGAATCCCACCCCTGGATTTTTCACTCAGTCTTTGATCTGATCCATTGCTGGTTAACAATGCAGCTGATACAGAATAGGTCAATCTTTAAGATGCTACAGATTCTTGATGTACTTCCTAAATATCTACTGTTCTTTTCTTTTAGGGAATGTTGTCGGTTTTTTGGAGACAATGGCTTGACACTGAAGGCATTTTTTACCAAGGCAGCACCTTTTGGTGTTCTTTGGACACTCACAAACTACCTGTATTTACATGCAATAAAAAAAATAAACACTACGGATGTTTCCGTATTGTTCTGCTGCAACAAAGCTTTTGTGTTCTTGCTTTCGTGGATTGTTCTCAGGGACAGATTCATGGGAGTGAGGGTAAGTGGTTAATCAACTCTCTTTTTTCCACCATCACCAGCACTGGTACCAGTACACAACTTTTGCTTAATCATTTATAACAGAGTAGTATAAATTATTTAACTTCCACATTAAAACTGATTTCATGTTTTTTTAAAGTTGTTCTTTAAATTATTGCTATATTTTCATTGTATCTTAGCTTTGGCTTTTTTAAAAAGTTAGTTTATTTGTCATCTTGAAACATATTTTTTTTTTCTGAAATAGTTTTAATTTCCCAGTTTTCATAGAGTGACATGTCTTAATACCAAAATTTAAGGTTTCAAGGTTAATTTTGTTGGTTTTGTTGTTGAAGTTGATTTTAATTTCATATTTCATCCATTAAGAAGATTTACACACACAGAGAGAGAGTTTGTATTATATTGTTTCTATACTGTATACTGCCCACAGTTGTGATGCATCCAACTTTCTCTCTATTTCTCCCCTTCCCCCATGTGTGTGTGTGTGTGTGTGTGTGTGTGTGTGTGTACACACACACACACACACACACAGAGAGAGAGAGAGAGAGAGAGAGAGAGAGAGAGAGAGAGAGAAAAGAAAGAAAGAAGAAAGAAAGAAAGAAAGAAAGAAAGAAGGAAAGAAAGAAAGAAAGAAAGAAAGAAAGAAAGAAAGAAAGAAAGAAAGAAATGGAGAGGGATAGAGAAGTTGGATGCATCACAACTGTGAAGCAGTATACAAACAATACAATACAAACAAGCATCTGGAAAAATAACATAAATTGTAATAAATCCATCATCCCCATTTATCCCAAGGCCTGGAGGAACAGCCAGGTTTTAAGAGCTTGTTTAAATAAATAAGATCAGGTTGGGGGTCTTATGAATTTAATGATCTGACAATTAAAAGAGTTTATCTACAGAAGGCTTATGCAATACGATGAATACTAATTGCACATTCAAAGAACATGTTGAATCTGTAGCTTTGAAATAGCTCAATGAAACTGAATAATATAAATATGAAATATTATTGTTCCCTTGTCTCTGCTGGCTTTTTCTGGATGAATGCAATAAGCTTTTGAACTTTAAAGTTCTTCAGAGTTTTAAATAACAACAACAAAAAGACTTTTTCTCTTTATAAGAAGAAATGTCAATGGAGACTTCAAGATCCTAATCAGAGTGCCTCCCCCAAAAGACATTTTTTAGCCCTGTACCATGTCTGATTTTCATCATATCTTTTAAATTAGCCTGTTAAATCGGCTTGACTGTATCTTAGTTTTCTTTTCAAGTAATTTGCTACATCATATTTTTTTTATCCTAACATTTTGTTTGAGCTTATACTATGAGTCAGTCTAAGGATTTACTATTATCAAAAAGCCTATCAGTGTTGAAAATAATAATATCATTTTCTATGATCATGAGGGCTCCGGCTAATTAACCAAATGTCATGAACTGTCCTTTCCTTTAAGTTTTATGCATTTTCATGATTGGTTTCCAATTGTTTCTGCATTTTTAAAAAATCTGGATGCTGCTTCAGTGGATTGACATTCATAATTATGATGATGGCAAAATTATAGAGCAAGCATTGTGTTCAGTTGAAGAGCACATTGCTGTTCTGAGAGCTATAATTCTTTATCTGGCAAGTTACAGCAATAGTGAGAGGAAGCTCCTTCAAGTGAGGCAAACAAAACAATAAGGAGAACATTCAGGCCTTAATGTCTCACTATTTAAAATATTTACCAACATCTGTACAAATATTTTGTAATAAAGAACAAAGTGAGTTCACATTTACTTTGATCTTTTTGACTTAGAAGGCCAAAAGGAAAACTATTTGCCTTTAAAAAAAAATAATGTTACTTGATTTGTTAACTCAGGAAATATAGCATTTTTCTTGCCAGATACTATCTACATTAGGGGTTTCAAAGTCAAATAGTTACAAATGTTGCAGCTTTTCTGTGGTACTACTGTGATCAATACTGCACAGGAGACAGCAAGATAGAGGTTTTTCCACAGGTTTGGGAGCTGGGAGACGATGGGATTAGCCAACTTGCTTGCAAGCACAGCAAAGAAGTTTCAAGGACATAAGTTCCAAAGCCTCACTTTCTAATGGCTTTTAAAAATTGCTCATTAACTATTTCTAAGCTATTAGACACCTTCAGAATTACAAGTTTGAAAATGCTGAGTGAATCTGCCTTTAATCCTGAATAAAGGAAGTTGTAATCATAAGAAAGAATTTAAAGAATCTGAAATAAACAGCAAAAAGTTAAATAAAAATTTGATTCTAGAAAATTATAAATGGATAAAAATTTGAATATTGAAACTTTTACAGTAATATTTTGGAATTATAAAGAACAAACAACTTCACCTGGGAAATAGATTCTGTTTTAATTTTTACAAGACACAATAAAACAATTGTTAGCAATTTAAAGATTTTAAACATTAGTGAGACTAAAGTTTTTAGGCAGAGGAAAAACTTTCAAAACTGTAAAATGTTGCAAAACATTATAACAATGAAAATATTGAAGGAGACTTTTGAAAATTGGAGTCAGAAATTAGCAACAATATCAACAATATCAGTAATATGTGCTTCTATAGATATCCAGAAACTGTTATAGACAAAATGACAAATATAGAACAAATTTTATCTGACAACATAGAGATAGCATTGGATTTACAAATGACAGATTAAGATTGTTTTGCTAAATCTAAAAAGAAACTAGCTGAATTTTTAAAATTTAAAACAAATGAAAAGCCAAGAGAATTACCTGAATAATATTTTCCTATTGGATTTACAAAAGGGGCTTGTTAAGCCCTTGAAGAACTCTGTACAATCAAACAAAGAAGAAATGATGAGAAATCAAATCCTACAATACTATCTGAATGAACTGAATACTATATCTATTAAAAGTAAAAAAAGAAGGAATATAAAGTTGGCTTATTTGCTCAAGGTTAAAACAAGATATATTGTTACTTCTGGCTATTCTTTATGGACCATTTGTTGACATGGGATTGAAAAGATGATGCTTTATTGATTTTTCTATAGATAGGGGATGAGATATGAGATGGATAAATATCTGTAACCTTAAAAGAAATGAAGAGTCACTACATTTCAGAAAACCAGCATGTTCAATGTATTGTTCTGTTTTGTATTACTTTTTTCTACAATCCTAGTCTAGGTACCCTTAAGTGCTTTGAACATATAGATCTGATAATATACACAACTGTTCACAAACTAATCTCTCAATAATGGTTTGTTGGTATATGACTAAAAAATGGAACTCCTGCTAAATTTTGTCTTTAGTAGCCTTTGGTTTAATCTTTCCAAAGGGCATAAGATACAGTATATCTGGAATGTACTCATTAGAGTTGGGCTTATGAAAAAAAATTTTTAGTGCTGTCTAAAGTCTTAGGAAAGAACACAGTTTAATGGTGCCTTCTGTATTACCAGGGGCTAGGGAGACTTTAGAGCCCATTAACATTTTGCTTCTCTATCCAAAACAGATTGTTGCTGCTATACTTGCTATTGCAGGGATAGTTATGATGACTTATGCAGATGGATTCCACAGTCATTCAGTTATTGGAATAGCACTTGTTGTGGGATCTGCGTCAACGTCAGCTCTTTACAAGGTAAGTATAGTAATATGCTTAAGGTTCATTAGTCTACGGGTTTAAATTTTGGGAAAACAGCCAAACATTGCATAACCAAATGTATCCAAGTTCTGTTTACAGTCCAGTTTATCCTCTAGTCTAAATAGTCATGTTTTCACAGAGCTCTTCTACAGAACTAAAATTTCACATGGAGGTAGTTGAATCAGGTTGTTATCCCTATGGGAATTAGTGTAGGCTTTCACAGCTGGTATCTGTTGGACAGTGTTGGGCTTCAGGGTATACTGGCTATTTTCTAAACAAAAGACTTCTTGATATTTTGACAGCAATGTAGACTGGCTGACTACGTAGACTACCTTGCCTCTGAAGATGCTAGCCATAGTTGTTGGCAAAATTAAAGGAAATCTGTTCTCTATACCATAGTCACTAAACCCTGAGGCTCAGTACTACCCAATCTATGGGAGCTGTTTAAAGAAAAATTGTTCACACTGTATGTTAAAAAAAAAAAAAAAGCTCTATAAAGGATGAGATCCTGGAGCTGCTGATGGACCAGTTTCTGCATCATTTCTAGTTCCACAGTTCAAAAAAAGAGCTTAGAAGTTGGTAAGTGAAATCTGCTTATAAGCTGCTGGTTTATAACAATACAAAATAATACGATTAGATAAATCCACTACTGTTGTTAATATGAAGAAGGAAGGTGAATGCATAAAAGAAGATTATCTTATCTACTGATTAGTGGAGAGTTTTTAACATCAAAATGGAAATGTTTCCACTTTGGAAGCAAGAAAAGGATAATAGGTCATAAGGGATGGATAAGGAAAAGGCTTTTAATTTCTGTTCTCCATTCATCCACTATGACGAAAAGTTCAAAATTAATCAAAAACTTATGCAATGTTGGTATTGTTTGAAAGCATGTGGGACTTGTGCAGCTGTGCTTTTATGTAAGAAGGAATATAGATTGGATGAATTTTGAATAGGGGAAGTAAAAGAGAACACCATTGCCTTCTACCAAAGCATCTCTTCTTGGTCTTCAATCTGGATATATAATAAATCTACTATTAACTCATGGACATTGATGTTCATAAGAAATGCTTAGTTAGAAATGTTGCAAATTATAGTCTATATCATTTAGATACATTTTGAAACCATGCTTTCATAAATTTCTTAGCATAAGGAATAAAAATTATTTTTAAAAAATTAAAACAAAAATTTAGAATGAAAGTCATTCTATTCAATGGCCTTGTGGTACAGGAATGGGTGGGTTACATATTATATCATTATGTAATATCCACTGATCACATAGAGTATATTTGTTTATAAACCAAAAACCAACTCTATTTATTAAGAATAAAAGATTCCAAAACATATAAAAGTCTTAAAAGTTGAGGAAATAATAAATTTTTAGAATCTAGTAATTTGTGGTTTAGATAATATAACATTCCTTTCTGAGAACTCAATGAAGATTATCAGGAACCCAAAGCTAAGTAAGCTGATTTCAGCACTAATACAGATTTTATTCTCTGTGCGCTGAAGACTGTTTAATAAGAGTTCAGTTACACACCAGACCCTGCAAAGGAAGTGTCTGCCAGCAACTGGTGATCTAATATGTTCTCTGAAATCCTTTTCTTTCATTGAAAGACATGCTTTCTTCTCATTGTTTTTTCATTGGCTGTAGTGACACAAAACAGGTTGTGCATATAGTACTAGTTAGGTAACTCAAATATAAAATCTTCAAGCACATGCCTGGCCAGCATTCAGATTTGCCTGAACATACATATTGTATCTGTTGTTCTATGACATGTGTTTGTGTTAAATCAGAATGCTGGCGACATAACGGGAAAAAAAGCAAAAATTTAAAAAGTAAGGTTAAAAGGCTCTTCCACCCTTTTTAAAAGGTAACAAAATACAAATACAAGAGTCCATATTAATTGGCCATACAAAACCAATTCTTGTATGTGAGTGTATGTAAGGTTTTACATTAATATTCTTTAAATGAAATTCTTATAGCTTTTTTTATATATTCTGAAATACATTATCTGAGAAGTACACAGGAGCAGCAACTCGTTCTATGCAATGACATTTTATTATCATATCAACCCAAAGTTTAAAAAAAAACACCATGAACCTCTACTGTTCATTGTAACAATTTGCAGTCAAGAGCTGAAAAGAAAACAGAAATTATGGGGAGTGATCAAAGGTTGGTATTAGGATAAGAATCATTTCAAGAACTGTCCAAACATTAATAATTTAGTTTTGTGTTTTATGTGCATGTATGAATCAGAGTATGAATAGACTGAAGTAGCATATAAGTCCAAATAAATGAACAGATAAATAAATAGCAATGACATATCTAATTAATAGAAAAACACATACAGTAAATTTTTAAGTATTGCTAGATGAACATTACGCTGATTTTTTATTTAGCATATATTTCCACTGGCAACATATGAATTACATTTATGACTGTGTTGTCAATAGGGAAGGCAGGGGAACAAAGGCAGAGTGGCACAAGCAACAATGCAAAAATCAGGGTATAAGTTAGTTAGTTTACTTTATTGTCATTGCACCTCATACAGCGAAATCAAACACCATCTTCCGTATACATCATGACCATGAAAATAAACACAAACACACATCCTTCACACTCCACACATTGAATTGAAAACGCCCGACACCACACCAACACTGCACTATACAGTAGAATTCAAAAGAGCTACTGCCCTGGGATAGAAGCTGTTTTTCAGCCTATTTGTCCTTGTTTTTATTATCCTGTACTGTCTGCCAGATGGTAATAGTTCAAAAAAAGGGTTCCCAGGATGAGATGGATCTTTGAGAGTGTTTTGAACTTTTTTAAGGCAGCGGGAGCTATAAAGCTCTTCCAAAGAGGAAAGAGGGAAACCAGTGATCTTCTGGGCAATGACATTAACCATCTGGAGTGCTTTCCTATCTGCCCCTGTGCAATTGGCAAACCATACAGAGATGCAGTAAGTTAAGATACTCTCTATGGTGCAGCGGTAGAAGGTCCCCAGCAGTTTTTCATTCAGTTGTTGTTTTCTGAGAAGTCTCAGGTAATATAATCTTTGCTGGGCCCTTTTGACCAGTGTGAGCATCCCAGGTCAGATCCTCTTTTATGGTAACACCCAGAAACTTAAAACTGGTCCACTTGCTCCCCTCGGTCTCCATTGAAAAGCAAGGGCTGGGTGTCTGATCTGTTTCTTCTATAGTCCACTATAAGCTCCTTGGTCTTATTGGGGTTGAGGAACAAGTTATTGTCTCCACACCATGAAAGCAACCGGTCCACCTCATCTCGGTAGGCAGACTCATCCCCCGGGAGATGAGTCCAAGCACTGTTGTATCATCCACAAATTTAGTAATAGTATTACTAGTGTGAGTAGGAATGCCGTCATGCACATAAAGAGTATAGAGCAAGGAACTCAACATGCAACCCTGTGGTGTACCAGTATTAAGAATAAGGGCTGAAGAGGTATGCTTACCTAATCTGACCCTCTGTGAGCGGCCAGACACGAAATCCATAATCCAAAGGCAGATTGAATAAAAAAGTCCAAGGTCCAGAAGTTTAGACATTAGTCTATGTGGAAGAATTGTGTTAAATGCAGAACTAAAATCAACAAAAAGCATCCTCACATAGCCCCCCCCCCCGCTCTTCTAGATGAGTCAGAGCAGTGTGAAGAGTGATGGTTATAGCGTCCTCTGTAGATCTATTTCTCCTGTATGCAAACTGGTGTTTATCAAATGTATGTGGAAGACCAGAAATGATGTGCCAACAGACCAATTTCTCAAAGCACTTCATGATGATAAGAGTGAGTGCCACTTTTAATAATAAGTCCTCTTTTAATCATGATGTTGCCTATGTATGCATCATTGGACGCATCAAAAGCCTGCAGATGCCAGTCAGACTAACATTGGTGATCTGGAAGCTGTTCAAAACAAGGTCTTCACCTGCAGTTGGTCAGAACCACTTTGATATTCTCTGTTTAAAGTCCTATAATATAAAGAAACAGGAAGTTATAGTGCTAACATTGCTGCAGAGTCCATAATACTTTACTTACTTTACTTTGCTAAGAGCCATGGTGGCGCAGTGATTAGAGTGCAGTACTGCAGGCTACTTCTGCTGACTGCTGGCTACCCGCAATTTGGCAGTTCAAATCTCACCAGGCTCAAGGTTGACTCAGCCTTCCATCTTCCGAGGTTGGTAAACTGACTGTTGTGGGCAATATGCTGACTCTTTAAACCACTTAGAGAAGTCTGTAAAGCACTGTAAAGTGGTATATAAGTCTAAGTGCTATTGCTATTGCTATTCTGTGTATTCCATTGCATCTGTATGTATGTCTGTGTAGTTCTTGATATTTGTTGAGCTTGGTTGTTTTCTTGTAGACATTTCATTACCAGGGCAGGTAACATCATCATTACAATCACCATCATCTGCAATAGAACAATCAAGCTCAGCAAACATCAAGAAACCAAGAGTTCAATCCTGTGCTACATGTATAACACAGAGAACTACAAATGCCAGGGCCAGCAAGTTTATATTTCTCATTGACTCATACAAGCATTTTAGCTCCACTCTTATATAGTGAACCATAATATATACCCATTGTGTGAAAACATCTGTGACTGCAACGATTAGTATTTGCCACCTGGGCCTATCACTAGTACAGGTAAATATTAGTAAGTTGTTCAATGAATTTCATTAGGTGATCCGCTCAATTTCTTTCTAAAGGTAAGGTGGAATGTAGCTCATTTCAGTGAAATGAGCTGCATTGGGAATGAAGTGGAATTAACCTTCTAACTGGAAGACTGTTTGTTATTCCATAAATCTAACAGGTGATTTTAGACATAATTACAAACCTACACAGAAAAACATGTACTTTAGAAGTAAATACACAATTAGCATTCATTATTAAACATGAATAGGATTCAAATTATGTGATATCATTGAGGTATATATGGAAATCAAAGTGAAGAAATATATTTATTCTTCTCAATGAAAGCAGTGATAATTATGGATAAATTTGCCACTAATTCATTAACTCAGAAGAATCTTGGTGATATAGAAATTTCTTCATTATTATTTCACATTATTAAATTTGCAGCCTTAATGTTTTACATACAATTAAAATGAAATAGTTATTTGCAGAGGATATATTTGTAGCAGTAGCTGGTAGATATGTCCCATCTTTACCACAAAATTTATAGAAGAAGTTGTAGTTTTATTGCTTGTATCAAATAGCAAAGCTTGAGAACAAAACTAAAATTAACTTGTTTGTCAGCTCACATTATTTAAAAATGCTGTATTACAAAAAAGGCTATGAAATGGCTGTTAGTTTCTGATGGATAGAATAATAACTTTATATTGACTACTAATTAAGAAACAGCACAAAAATCTATATTGCAATGCTGAAAGGCACTTCTGTCTAATATTGCACTCATTTATAAGAATTTACAAAGCAATTTAGCCCCCCTTTATATCTACTACTATGAAATTAAATTAAAAAGTCAACTAATTTTTCTGGTGAATATTTCTAGCCAATCTTCAAGTCCAATGCTTTCAAACAGATTAACATGAAATTGCTTCGCCAAATTTACAGAAGTCTGCAGGACGTCCTGGAGACATTATATTTAATGTACCGTATAGCCTCTCTTGAGTTTCCTTCCATCTTTGTTGGAAATGACAGAATAAATCCAGAATGGATTGCAATAGAAGTTTGCATGAAAATGTCTAGCTATTTCTCAATAACACTGTAAATAACATATTCTCCTCCCCCCTTCCCATGTAATTACATTATGAAAGCATGTTTTAAATTAGAAATACACTTTAAGATAACTGTTTACAGAATTTCTTATCATTTATAAACAATAGTTTTTGCTTTTCAGATTGTTTTTCTTTCTTTTACAGGTTTTATTTAAGCTTCTTCTGGGTAGTGCTAAATATGGAGAAGCTGCCTTATTTTTGTCAGTGTTAGCTGTTTTCAATATCCTTTTTGTTACCTGTATTCCTGTCATTCTTTACTTTACCAAAGTTGAATACTGGAGTTCTTTTGATGCCATTCCTTGGGGAAGCATTTGTGGATTTTCAGTCCTATTATTGAGTAAGTAAATGTTGCTTAATTATAATGACCGCATCCTTCTAAACAATTATGTTGGATAGTCTTAAGAAAAAGAAAGACTGCAGATCATGCTTAAAGCCTACTTAATCCAATCCAATCTAATTTAATTTAATCCAATGCAATCTGTTTTGTTCTCTCTTTTTTTGTTTAATATGATGCTACTACTCCTAAGATATTAAGAATGGTTTCTCAGGTTGCCTAGCAACTATTGTGAAGTATATTGCTTTCAAAACTGTGTAGTATTTAGCCATCATATCTAACAATCATTGTAATTTTATCCTCCATAATTTGACCAACATGGTTGTTCTAAACCTGACATTTAAAGACTACTGCAAGTGTTTTTATCAAAAAGAAAAGTAACAGATTAACGCAGCACACTGATAGTAATTTGGTGAGTAAAATATATAATAATAAGCACAATATAACACTGATAACTATTAGATACTTTTAAATTTGCATTTAATAGATTATTAGAATTAGACTTTAGCCTTGAGAAAATGCAGTTGAAGGAAAATATACTAGCACTCTTCAGGCACCTGACAGGTTGTCATATAGAAGAAAGTCAGGACCTATTCTCATTTGTTTCCAGAATGTAGGGCAGGGCCTTTGATGGCTCATATCATTAGGATGCTGAGTCAAAAGACCATTAAGAGGTTGACAGCTCAGCAGTTCGAAATCCAAGGGCGAGCCATGTGATTGAATGTGCCCAAGTTCCTGCTCACCTAGTAGTTTGAAAGGATGTGAGTGCAATAGGTACCACTTTGGTGGGAAAATAACATAGACATGAAAGGAGCCCCCTTGGGCTTCCCCTGGGCAATGGTTATGTCACCAGCTAATCTTTTCAACCAGGAAGCGCGTTGATATATGCTTCAGATACGAACGTAGTAGTAGGACATGGAACGGACAAGTTGCAAGAAAGAAGATTCTCATGGAATGCTAGGAAAAAGTTCCTAATAGTAACAGTGGTTTGAAAGTGGAACAAATAATCATAATACCTCCTTGGTTACCCTCCACTGGACAGGGTAAAACTGACATTTATCAGAATTTTTTCATGTGAATTCCTTACTTGAGCAGGGGGTTAGAGTTAGTATTATCAAGGAAGATCTCTTTCAACTCTAGGAATATTTAATTCTAGCATCACTTATTAGAGAAGTTTGATTCCCATCAGCCATGTGCTCTGGTGCAATGACTTACACAAAAACTTTCAATGACAATATAATGGTTCTCATAATGTATTGGTAAGCAAGATAAAAGTAGTTCTGTTCTAAAATTATCTGTTAGTGGCCTTTAAAATTTAAGCAAGTGCTGTGTAGAGAGTTTCCTTTTGACTGAAATGAAACTCCCATTATTAATCTTTATGAATACTGCTTATGCAAAACTATCGTGTAATTGCTCAATATTCTCCTATTTATATAAAATGATTAAGTCCAGCAACAAAGTAGGTATACATTATGGGTACATGGTAAAATAGACAAATTAGTCAATTAAAAATTTTTAACCATAAATATATGCAGTTTGAATGCTTTCTGAAGTAAATTGGGAAGACAGAATGTACAGATTTGAATAAGTAAGAGCAGTCCTGCAGTGCATACCTTGCACTGGATCCAGATATGTTCCTTGGCATGTGATACATAGTAGTTTCAGAACTACTGTATTTTGATGTTTATGTGCATATCAATCTAAATTTTGTCTGCTTAAAATAATCTGGTTAAATCTGTAAAAAAGCAAACTTAGTTCCAACATAAAAGTAATTCTAAAATGGAAAACGTTATTTCTTATTTCAGCATTCAATATTATATTAAATTTTGGGATTGCTATTACATATCCTACCTTGATATCTCTCGGGATTGTACTAAGCGTACCTGTAAATGCTAGTAAGTATACTTCTTCATTAAATCATATAGACATATATGTACAGGCTGATTAACAAATTATATATAAATCAGGATGTACATGTTTTATATGTAAAGTAGAATATGCTGTATTTTAGCAAATGCTCATTCCCTTTAATTTCATAGCATTAGCCTTTCATAACATTAACATTTACAGTAAATGTTAATTTGTCAAACATATTGAGTTCAAGATTTGCAGTTTTTCTCTCGATACAGTATTGAAGCTTAAAGCATCACCCATTTGTTTCACAAGACAAACAACAGGAAAATCCATTAGTGGATTGTTCTCATATGGAGTTTGGAAAGTGTTGATTTGAAGTACCTGTGTTTCCTCAAAAATAAGACCAAGTCTTATTTTCTTTTGGTTCCCAAAATAATCACTAGGGCAAATTTTCGGGGGTATCTTATTTTTTTCCATGTATGGGAAACATACTTCTGCTTGCTCATGGTGGAGTAGGAGGCCACATGGCACGTTAGTGCCGCCACTGTGAGGCACGGGGTGGAGCTGCTCTATGTTGCCTCAGGGTCCCCGCAACCAAGCCACCCATGCCTCGACACCTGTCTTGCCTCATGGCTGCAGATCTAGCAACCCTATCCAGCAGGACCTGTGTGGCCCCCGGCCCACTTCTTCTGCTTGCTCGTAGCTGCAACGGGGCAGGAGGCTGAGCAATGCACCAGTGCCGCAGCCATAAGGTGATGGAGTTGCCCCATGTGCCTACACTGGCTTACCTCAGGGCCCCCACAGCCAGGTCATCCATGCCTCTCACCTGTCTCACCACACGGCTGTGGCTCCAACACACCACTCAGCCTCCTGCTCCATTGTGGTTGTGAGCAAGCAGAAGAAGTGAGTCAGCAGCCATGTGGTCTCTTGGCTGTTAGTGCTGCCACCGTGAGGCAGGTGTCGGGGTGTGGATGATGTGGCTGTGGGGCCAAGGTAAGCTGGTGCTGGGTGCGTGGGGCAGCTCCACCCCCCCCACCTGACTCGTAGCCATGATACCACAAGCAATCAGACAAAATGGGTGGTTGGCTGGCTGCACAGCCTGTTAAGTAGGGCTTATTTTGGGGGTAGAGCTTATATTAAGCACATACATAAAAACATGCTAGGGCTTATTTTTGGGGAAATGGGGGTAATAATTTCTTGCTTCATAATGTCAAAATATTCATGTTTGGTTATGGATCAAATGTTTGGCAAAAGAATTTATCTTCTTTTCCTATGGTGTGTATCTGGCTAGTTCCTATTGGCTTCTTCTGGTTACAAAATTTTTCCCTTGGTGACATCTAGGTGTGTTGTTGGATGGTTGTCACCTAGCTCCCTGGGAAGTTGCCTACATCATGACAACCACCTCCATTGTGGCATTTTTGGAAGCACAAGTTAGAGGTCCATATATTTTTGTGTGCTCTTGAGAAGTGTGTGTTTGATAATCTTAAGAGCACTTTAAAGAGCATTAGAACATTACTTTCTAAAAATAAGATTAGCACTCTGCATAGAAAGTCAATTTATTTGCAAAGCTTGTGTTTCTAAAGTATAGAGTTCCTGCTGCTACCGTAAAGGAAAAGGCATCCGTGCTTTTTTTTTTAATTTGCTCAGTCTATGGACTTGATTGCTCAATTTTGCATCTTACACTTCGTTGGTAATAGTTGCCATAATGGCAAGTGGTATGATTACCATCACATCCACCAGCAATTTCCAGAAGCTGCCAGATAAGGAATTAGTTTGGGAGTTATGGCAAGTATACAATTCCTACTCAGAGATCCTACTTGGTTATGAAGAGGAAGATCACAATAAAAATCAGTCCGCACCAGTGTTATTGTATATAGCAGGAGAGTTGGTGGACAACAGTCTTAGAGCAATGATAAATCTTATCTGTAAGCTGCCCAGACTCACTTTATAGGGGAAATGGGTGGCATAAAAATGTAACAACTAAAAAACCTTTTTTTTTTACAATCTTTAAAGCATCATTTGTGTTATCTGCAAAACAAGGACACTTTGATGCAAGGTGAAGCTAGCTCAGAACTAACCTAAGTGGAATGCAGAGCATCAGTAGTCTGGTAGCCTTCCCTTGGCAACCATCATAGACCATTCAAAGAAGAGAAGTAAAAAACCTTGGTCAGTTGATTAATGCCTGATTCCACTAGTACTCTTCAGTTTCATATGACTTGGCTGCATTTATGGGCTCATGGCTTGTGAGAATGAAATCCAAATCTTTTGCTATTGCATATGTACTACTTTGATACGTTTTATTCCATCTGTGTTATCTGTTCAATATTTTATGCAGTTGTTGATCACTACTCGAGTGATATTGTCTTCAACAGTGTCCGTGTAATTGCCATTGTCATAATTGGCTTGGGCTTCCTCCTGCTGCTTCTACCAGAGGAGTGGGATGAGTGGTTAATAAAACTTCTTACACGCCTCAAAGTACGAAAGAAGGAAGAAATTCCAGAAGGAAATGGAGACATTGTTTCAGGATTGCAAAATAAAAGTAGAAGAACGCGCCCCTCCATGTCATCTTTCACGCATTAATATTATTTTATGAACATTCCTTAATATTGTATACTTTAAATCATAGCTCTTTTCTTGCAAAGCACATACGTTCAATAAGTAAATATATACAGATGTACAGTTTTGATAATAAGAGTCCAAGGCATCAAGTTTCAGCATCACTAAATTGCTTGCACTGTTTCACATTCAACCTTTCACTTGGGAGAACCTCTCTAAAACATGAAACACTTTTTAAATGAATGTAATGTATAAACTAATGTTCTTTGCATATATGATTTTACTGATAAATCATGAGATAGAGGGCATACATTTTGAACATTATGTACTGAATAATACATTGCACACTGTGATTTATGCGTGTGTGCATGCACACACACAAACATATATATATATATAAATATACAAACACATATATGAGAAACAACTATTATGCTTATGTCATAAGCTTATTTTTTATGAGAGCTGCACATGAAACATTTGCAAATGAACCAAAATAAACTATTTTTGGGGAAGAAGGGGTGGGAGGGTGGGAGAGTGCTTTGTGAAGATAAGTGCACTTGGTGCCAGATTAAAAGAAAGGAGAAATGTTAGGTTTGCACTGAAGCATATGGGAGAAACTATCAAGAGTACCAAATCACCCAGGCATTACTCTTGAAAACCCCTAACATGAATGGGAACAGTGCAAGAGTACAGGATACTTTGAATGGTGTGTTATTTTTGCACACACACACACTGTCTGTCTCAGTGGAGCTTGTGCAAAGAAAGTTCTCAGGGGGAACAAATTTAAGTGTGCATGATTGCAGTCTGCGCTTAATATCATGCAAAGGAAAATACAGTGCCTTTTACAGAATTCTAGTCCATTGTCTGTTTAGAAACAGGAAACCCTGCAAGTTGCTTGTATTGATTTTTCAACATGAAGAATGTGTTCCAGTGCTTTTGAAATTCGCAGAGAAATCAAGGAGTGCCTACTTCAAGCTGCTGATTACTGGAGTACAGACTACAGACTGGAGGACTACTATGTTGCGGCCAGATTTACTTCTCACTTGCACAGATCTGGAGACGCTCCTCACCTGTATTTCTGTGAAGGGAGAATCAAGCCGTATATCCAAGAACCACGCTTAAATAGTAACAAAGCTTGCAGCCGTTTGGAAAAAAAATGTGTACAATATTGAAAATATAAGTGAATTGCATTTGCTTTTATTCATTGCTATTTTTTTAAGGACATCAAGATACTTAAATCAAACTTAAAACTTTTTACAAAACTTGTAAGCACCATGCTGTTTACTTGTACAATTTGGTTTGCCATTGGATTTCTATCTGTGATAGATGATGTGGTATATGCAAAGAAACAGGCGATGGTGACAGTTTACTCTTTTTGAAGTTTACATTGCTGCATTCAAAATGGAAAACATTATTTTTAAATGTTGCCATAATCCAATAGTGTGTGCTGTCTCCTTGGCATTTTTGGGTCAGATGGAGGTGGCACTCACTTCTAAACTTTTTACTGAATCAGTTTCAGATTCAATTATCTGCTCGACAAAACGAATAAAAACTACTGCAACTTCATATTAAGTCAATGGCTTTTGCTTGCATTTCTGTTTTATAGTGAGTTACATCAGTTTTGACTAAAAAAAATTGCATAAAAATGTGTAATAAAAAGTGGAAAAAGAAGTACTTAAGACTGTCAAAGGCTTTCTCTGGGTTATAGTAATTTTCTTCTTATCCTGCTTAAAGCAATGTTTTAAGTATAGTTTTTGGATTTTTAAAAACGTTATGTTAGCCGTGGAGATTAGCACATCTTTGTTTAGTGATTTTAGCAAAAATCTCAAAGCAATTTGATGCTAGTTTAGTATAGTTTACTTTATTGTCACTGCACCTTGTACAACAAAACCAAACACCATCTTCAGTGCACATCATGACCATGACCATGAAAATAAACACAAAAACACATCCTTCATCCTCCACACATTGAATTGAAAACCCCCGACACCGCACCAACACTGCACTATACAGCAGAATTCAACAGAGCTACTGCCCTGGGATAGAAGCTGTTTTTCACCCTATTTGTTCTTGTTTTTATTATTCTGTACCGTCTGCTAGATGGTAATAGTTCAAAAAAAGGGTTCCCAGGATGAGATGGATCTTTGAGAGTGTTTTGAACTTTCTTAAGGCAGCGGGAACTATAAAGCTCTTCCAAAGAGGGGAGAGGGCAACCAATGGTCTTCTGGGCAATGACATTAACCCTCTGGAGTGCTTTCCTATCTGCCCCTGTGCAATCGGTACACCATACATAGGTGCAGTAAGTTAAGATACCCTCTATGGTGCAGTGGTAGGAGGTCACCAGCAGTTTTTCATTCAGTTGTTGTTTTCTGAGAAGTCTCAGGTAGTATAATCTCTGTGGACCCTTTTGACCAGTGCTGCAATGTGGGCACCCCAGGTCAGGTCCTCTTTTAGGGTAACACCCAGAAACTTAAAACTGGCCACTTGCTCCACTCCGGTCTCCATTGAAAAGCAAGGGCTGAGTGTCTGATCTGTTCCTTCTATAATCCACTATAAGCTACTTGGTTTTTTTTTGGTGTTGAGGACCAAGTTATTGTCTCCACACCACAAAAGCAACTGGTCCACCTCATCTCGGTAGGCAGACTCATCCCCTCTGGGGATGAGTCCCACCACTGTTGTATCATCCGCAAATTTAGCAATAGTATTACTAGCGTGAGTGGGAATGCAGTCATGCACATAACGAGTATAGAGTAAGGGACTCAACATGCAACCCTGTGGTGTACCAGTGTTGAGAATAAGGGCTGAAGAGGTATGATTACCTAACCTGACCCCTGTGAGCGGCCAGATAGGAAATCCATAATCCAAAGGCAGATTGAATTAAAAAGCCCAAGGTCCAGAAGTTTAGACACTAGTCTATGTGGAAGAATTGTGTTAAATGAAGAACTAAAATCCACAAAAAGCATCCTCACATGCCCCCCCCCCCGCTCTTCTAGATGAGTCAGAGCAGTGTGAAGAGTGATGGCTATAGCGCCCTCTGTAGATCTATTTTTTCTGTATGCAAATTGGTGTTTATCAAATGTATGCGGAAGACCAGAAATGATGTGCCGGCAGACCAATTTCTCAAAGCACTTCAAGATGATAGGAGTGAGTGCCACTGGTCTGTAATCATTGAGGTTATTGATAGGGAACTTCTTTGGCAGCAGAATAATGGTGGAAGCCTTCAAACAAGATGGAATAGTGGCCTGGAATAAAGACCGATTGAAGATCCTGGTAAAGATTCCAGCCAACTGATCAGCACAGTCTTTAAGCACTTGGCCAGAGATACCATCAGGACCAGCAGCCTTTCTAGAGTCCACAGCCCTCAGAATGCTCCTCACCTGTTCCTCCACAATGAGGTGGGGGCTACAATTGGCTGGTGGTTGTATTTTATCTGTCTCTGATGTCTCCACTTCAAAGCGAGCAAAGAAATAATCCAGTTCCTCTGCCAATGAAGCATCCCATTCAGCAGGGATGACATTGGTCGGTTGATGGTTTGTAATTTGTTGAATCCCTCCCCACACCTGCCTCATGTTATTGCTATAAAAATTATCCTCAATCTTCCTCTTATACTCAGTCTTGGCCTTCCGAATACCTTTCTTCAGATTAGCTCTGGCAACACTGTATCTTGTCCCATCACCGGACCTAAAGGCTTTGGTCCTGTCACGCAAGAGGCGCTGGACTTCCTTGGTCATCCAGGTTTTCTGATTGGGATAGTTCCTAATATGTTTATCCACAGTGATAGTATCTGTGCAGTGTTTGATATAGCACAGAATAGTTGCAGTGTGCACCTCTAGGTCAGGGTGGTAAAAGACGTCCCAATTTGTGTTCTCAAAATAATCCTGAAGTTGAGAAGCATCTTCTGGCCAAGATTTCACTGTCTTTATTATAGGCAGAGCCCGTCTCCTAAGAGGGATGTACGCTGGTGCTAAAAGCAGTGACATATGGTCTGATTGTCCCAAATGTGGTAATTGTATAACCTTATAGCCATGTTTGATGTTGGTATATACTTTGTCCAATATGTTTGCTCCTCTAGTAGCACACTTAACATGCTGATAGAATTTAGGGAGCACTTCTTTTAAATCAGCTTGATTAAAGTCCCCCGCTATGATATGCACAGCATCAGGATACTTACTAACAATTTTATATAAGAATCCCAAAGTTATGGTAGTATTGGCATCAGGTGGGACATAGACTGCAGTAATCAAAACCACGCTGAATTCCAGCGGAAGATATATGGGTCTACATTTAAGAGTCATATACTCCAGATCCATGGAGCAGTGGCTGTCTAGTCTTTGTATTGATACACCAGCTTTTATTTACATAAAGGCTTAAACCTCCCCCTTTGATCTTGCCAGAATCTCTACTCCTGTCCTGCCTGTGAGCTATGTAGCCTTCCAGCTCAACAGCTGCATCTGGAATGAGTGAATGAAGCCAAATTTCTATCATTAGCAAAACAAAACAGTTCTTGATGAATTTAGTCTTTGCAATCTGTAGCCTTAATTCATCCATTTTGTTAATCAGAGATCTTGCATTGGTAAGGAATATACTTGGAATTGAAGGCTTGTGTAGAAACTTACTCAGCCTAAAGAAAACCCCAGCACGGCATCCTCTCTTCCTCTTCCTGTTCTTCTTTCTCTACCTTTTCCTCCTTCCTACAGGGATAGTGATCCGTGGCTCCCCCAGGGGCCTAGCTGCCTCCTTCCGTATGTTATGAGAATGTATAAAATCGTCCATAATAGCCTTTTCACATTTCAGTCCAATTTGTAACAAGGCTTGCCGACTATAGATGCTCCTTGCCCCACAGGATTCAATCAAGGAAAGGATCAAAAACACACACAGAATCATACACACCATACACTGAAAGAAGGAGCGGTTAGCCGCAGCATCCATGTGCGCAGCCATCTTGAAAACCGTTCAATACAGACAATAAATAAATGCAAAATATTAGGAATTAAATTTTTCCCTTTAGATGAAAAATCCTGGAGAATGTAGCTATGTACAGATAATCAATTTACACATTAAATCTTGAATAACATCAGATTTGGTAAAGAGAAAAAAATTGTAGAGTACGTTTGATTCAAGATTCCTGATTGAGAAATGTTAGAGTAAATATGGTAATACATGATTTGAAATTAAAAATATCATTATTGTATATGGAAGTCATTAGTCACTATTAAAAACATCAACTTTTAGAGGAATGTAATTTGGATAATTCAAGTACAGATTTTGTCAGTTGCTCTGGGCAATTAAGGAAACTCAATTTTTACCAACCTCACAAATAGTTTATATAATAACCTACAAATCACTGCACAGGTTTTTTTTTTCATTTTTAGCCATTGATTTTAAAGTTTTAGAATCAAATTTATTAAGGATTTTATATACTGAGCACAATTGAGCCAAAATTAACCACTTAACATCCCACTGATTATATTGGGAGAAAATTAGACATTTATCTATTTATTACATCTATAAATATTTTAGAAAGTTTTCCTCATTGTAACAGAACAGATGATGGTAATATCATTAAAAGGTTATATACAATCAAATACTCCAGGAACAAGAATGATTAAAGAAATATATCAGGCTATATTTTTATGACCTTTCTATAGATCTGACTTCATCTATGGCAGGACAACAGCAAACAACAGCATTGGAAAGGATTTCTTAGGCCAGTGGTGGCTAAATTTTTTGGGCTCCTGTGCCAAAAATTGTGTGCGTGCTGGTGCGTGCAAGCTCATGTGCTAGCATTCAGAAAGCAATGCACCCCGCACGCCCCCTGTGCATGCGCATGCAATCCCCCTTGCCCCCCACGTTCCACCCACACGCCCCCTTACCTGCACTGTGCCTTACAGCTGATTTTTGGCTGGTTTGAGGCCTTTTTCGGCCTCCCAGAGGCTTGAAAAAAGCCTCTGCAGGCCGAATAGGCCTGTTTTGTCACTTCCTGTAAGTAACGAAACAGGCGTCAAGCCTCTGGAAGGCCAAAAAAGGCCTCAAACCAGCCAAAAAATCAGCTGTGAGGTGTACGCATGCGCAGTGAGGTAAGTTTGCCTGCGGCTTGCATGCCGGCACAAATGGCTCCACATGCCACCTGTGGCACGCATGCCATAGGTTCGCCATCATGGTCTTAGGCCAAGCCATCTAGTCCAAACCATTGTTATTACAGGATTCTCAATGCAGAATCCAAATAGTATGCTTGGTCATATCTTAAATATTTCCAATAAAACAAAATCTACAACTGTCTCTTGTCCAAGACAGTTTCTTCCAGAAGAACAGCTCTCTTTGTAAAGTAATTTCTCCTGTTTTAGCCAAAATAAATTTTTATCATTTTCATATGTCAGTTCTAATTTTTATATATTAGTTCTACTTTTTTGCTCAGTTTGTGTATCAGCCAACCTTCTTTACTTTGAATAAAAAACAGCTAGTCGCTACATTACTGAATGGAGCAGATGTTCCTCAGATCTCCCTCCTTTCCAAATACATCGTCTCAAACAAAACATCTTTCCCATCTTTCCCATCCACGATCTTTTTAGCTGACAATGCCAGAGTGAAGACAGACATTCTGAATGCAAAGCTTGCATCCCGCTGTTTAGCTATAATCCATTTTCAAAAAGAGAAAACACAATACTAAGTATCTTTGAAATCACAAAAGCTGAAACTTGCTGTAGTTTTCCCAGTGCTGAAGAACTATAAAATTCAGTAATGCCTTTGGATTATTACTATGCATAGTAATAATAACAGATAACATAACAGATAATCAGAGTTGGAAGGGACCTTATAGGTCATCTAGTCCAACCCCCCGCCCAAGCGGGAGACCCTACACCATTTCTGACAAATGGCGGTCCAATCTCTTCTTGAAAGTCTCAAGTGATGGCGCTCCCACAACTTCTGAGGGCAAGCTGTTCCATTGGTTGATTGAAATATATATATCAGAAATATTCAATGTTTAGCCAAAAAGAAAAAGAAAACCCCATGAAGAAAGAGGACAGCTTCTTCTCACATTTCACCAGTACTTTTTTTTTTCAGACCAGGTGATTTAGAAGCTGGGGAGATGAAGTACTTAAAAAACCAAAATGCTAAGACTCGAAGCAAGGAATCCGAGGTTCAAATTCTAATTTACCAATGAGGCTTATTGGATGATTTGGGACCAGTGGTACCGTTTTCATCCAGTCTATTCCCAGAGTTATGTCTGAGTTCTAAATGAAGATAAAATGAGAGGGAATCTTATTTGTGTTATGTAGAACACTGGGCTCTTAAGGCTCAGAGGGAAGGTATAGATGAAGTAATAAAATGATATGGTCAGCTGAATGAAAAAAGTTCTCAATCTTTTAGCTCAACAAGACACCTCATCATAATCCACATGCACAAAAAATAAGCACAATAATCAGGACTTTTGAAAAAATAAGCAGTTTGCAGTATATATGTATAATACAATAAAGGAAAATTTTATCAAAATGATTAGGCAGATTAACAATAATACCATCAACACAGAATGAAAATAATAATGTCATCAAAAAACCCCGACAACGTATCTTCCGCCAGACAATTGATCTCTACTCAGGTACATTTTTCTTGTTTGTATCTTTAGCTGGTATTATTTATTCCCCTTTTGTATTTTTGTTCTTTGGTTTATATTAACTTGCTCAAAGTCGAGGTGGGCGACAATATAAACCTTATATAAACTTGAAAAAAAATATAAGCTTGAAAAAAAAATAAGGCTTATTTTAAATTTTAAAAACCACTCTCAGGTTTTCCAATGCCCTTGACAAAGAAATAAAATTTCTAACTTCCCAATTGCTAGCAACTCCCTTCCCAACGGAAATCCCAAAGGCGCTTTTTCAGGAGGCAACTGGACTTTCTTGTTTCATTTTGTTTTAAAGACGTTTCGCTTCTCATCCAAGAAGCTTCTTCAGCTCTGACAGGACGGTGGGGAATGGAAGGATTGATATTCCTTGCAGACAGCTGCAAGGAATGGCAGACATCCTTCCATTCCCCACCGTCCAGTCAGAGCTGAAGAAGC